CTAGGGTAGCAAAACTGCACATTATGACACAGTATAATCCAATAGCAATAGTGAAACTTAACCACTAATTGCAGTTACTGCTAATAAAGGAAAACGATTTAGCGTGGAAAGAATTAAATATTCACCAGCAGGTTCATTTGTAAAGCATGTCACATTGTAATCGAGAGACCTGACGTTTATCTGACATATGAATACACCCCCATATACACTACGCTAACAGCCGCTATTTCATGGGGATATGAAAATTTAAACCACTTGGCGGTGTGAAATGACACCATTCTAATGTGCATATCCATAATTCATTACCTCAGTCCATTTTGCAGTGAACTTGTGTGTGTGTGTGTGTGTGTGTGTGTGAGTGAGAGAGAGAGAGACAGAGAGAGAGAGAGTGAGAGAGAGAGAGCACTGGATAACAAAACTAGACACTGTAAATTAGGAGTCTGTCTGTTTTACACAGATGAGTTACAAACTCTGACCTATTAGTGTGTTAACCATAAGCTGCTGGTGTCATGCACACATTGACATCCTCTGCTGACAGCACAATTTGCTCTTGTGTTTTTTTCGTGTGAACATTAAGGGTTCTCAGACAACTAATAATATTTTTTGCATGTATCTGCTGGCACAGATGTATTAACACTATTTGTGTGAAATTGAAACGACAAATTGTGGCTGGCAGTGTTTACATTGTCACATTACACTTGTAAACTTGTGAGCTTGTGGTGATAATGCTGCAGCCCTTATAATAATATGTACTGTGGTGACACCATGGTATCAGGTGATAATACCAGGGTACTTCCATATTGATTACCATATTCATGTACCATGGTATTTAAACAATATTCCAATGTACTTCAAACAGTACAATAATATTACCATGGTACATGTTTAACCCTCAAGCATCCTTCGTATAGCAGCTCTTAATTTGGTCGTTTGTGGACAAATTTGGGCACAAGGTCTCAGGTGTGATCCCAATTAAAAAAATAAAAATAAATAAATGTTATATCACTATCTTCAATAAAATAAAACCTATCAATTTATGCGATATTTGTGAATTTTGGTGCTTTTTAAAATTTTATTACCTCTAAAAGTACCATCTTTTTTTGTAAAATATACTTTTTGGCTGTAGTAATGGCTGCATAGGCTGAAATCTATAAACCATTGTTGTAACGAACTTAACCTTGTAAGTTTCAGATTAAAAATTGTTAAAATTGTAGAATAAAAAAAAGAAAATACATTTGTGTTGGGTGAGGCTATACAAAGATGCCAAAATATGCTTACAGACAATTTTTTTTTCTAACAAAAAAAAAACAACAAAACAAAAAACAAAACAACAACAAAAAAAAACATCAAATTTCAACAACGCAAAAAAGTAAAATGGTAAGTAAAATGACCAAGTAAACCTAGCAAGTAGCCTGTTTCAGACATGTTTTGTTTGGAATCATCAACAAATCTTGCAGTAGGACTTTGATCTGACATTGAAGTGTGTGTGTGTGTGTGTGTGTGTGTGTGTGCGTGCGTGCGTGCGTGTGTGTGTGTGTGTGCGCAAATGTCAGATTGGCACATTAAAACAAAATAAACAGTTACTGGCTCATTCAATTCTTTGTTTTTGTATGTGTGACTGTTTTTATTCAACAAAATTAATAATAATAATAATATATATATACAGTATATAGGGGCCAGTTGCATAAACATATACACTATGTTAAGACTGTGTCTTGAGAGAGCGTGTGTGTGTGTGTGTGCGCGTGCTCACAAATGTCAGATTGGCACATTAAAACAAAATAAACAGTTACTGGCTCATTCAATTCTTTGTTTTTGTATGTGTGACTGTTTTTATTCAACAAAATTAATAATAATAATAATATATATATACAGTATATAGGGGCCAGTTGCATAAACATATACACTATGTTAAGACTGTGTCTTGAGAGATAATCAGTCTCACTTTTCTGATTAAAATTGGGCCAATCTACATTTTTTGTTATTGACTTTAAACAGTTATGACCAGTCTAGAAGAAAACAAATTAGATGGCTTAATTTTTAAGACTTGTCTAAGCAGTTTATGCAACCGGCCCCTGCTCTGTTATAGGCTCATTCAATGCTTTGTTTGTGGGTGTGTGTGTTTGTGTGAGTGTGTGTGTCAGTGTGAATGTTTGCCACATTGAGAATGTTGTATAGGCTCACCCCTTCATTTATGTGGTCGTATGATCTGCATTGTGTTGGATTTTTTATTGATTTTTATTGGACAAATAAAAAAAATGCTCTGAATTATAGTATTTCCAATTAATTTCCTATGGGTGCCCATTTTTGTCCACGAAGGAAAAAATTATTATTTTTTTTTTTCCAACCACTTAACTTTGTTGAATCGAGTCCATTTGTGTGTCTGTGTGTGTGTTCAGGTGGCAAACTTAGGAAAATTAGACAAGTCTTGTACCGCTCAGATTAAGGAAACTATTTTTTAAAAAACAAAAACAAAATGATTTTGCCCACATTTGTCCCGAAGGATGCTTGAGGGTTAAATCGACAAATACAGAGAGCCTATACAATGTGGAGATTTGCTCTCCTCCGTTGGAGGCCCTATGTTTCTTAATAGGAAGCAGCTGTTATAGTTTGCCCACTGGTTTCAGTTTTCAGCGTGAACTGTGAGTGGGCTTTGCTTTTTAGTTGAACAACATTCCCTCAAAAACTTGAGCAAAATCCGAAAAACATAAGACCAGCGCCCTCTGCTGGTCAACCTCTGACTCAACTAACGTTACCAGACTAAATTTACTCAATACTCACCCTTCGTTTGGAAAATAATACGGCGAAACAGAATCTTCTCATTGGACTACAGGCCTCTAGAAAGAAACATAACGTGAGAATTTATTACCGACTATACCTTATTATTATGAAAAACAAAACCTTTATATGTTTTCATGTCCATTGCCTTACCCGAGTTCGACTATTATATGAATTACATCCATTTATGGAGACTTTGGCCGACTGTTCGTCCGGAGAGAAGTTATGCTCATCAGATACTACTTACCGACCTGAGAAATACTTAAATTTATTTTAAAACTGATCCCTTATCATTGAGCCACACAGGAAATTATGCAACTTTTCTGTGCGATGCCATACTGAATCGCCTCGTGCTGCGGTTTACTAGTTCGAATGGTTCGAACGGTTAAACTTAACCTTAAAGGGATACCCCACCCCAAAATGAAAATTTTGTCATTAACCACTTACCCCCATGTCGTTCCAAACCCCTAAAAGCTTCGTTCGTCTTCGGAACACAATTTAAGATATTTTGGATGAAAACCGGGAGGCTTGTGACTGTCCCATTGACTGCCAAGTAAATTAAACTGCCAAGATCCAGAAAAGTATGAAAGACATCGTCAGAATAGTCCATCTGCCATCAGTGGTTCAACCGTAACGTTATGAAGCGACGAGAATACTTTTTGTACACGAAGAAAACAAAAATAAC